GTGTCCAGCATACACATAATTTTTCGAGATTGGAGGAGGGGAATAAATGAGTTTGGAGATTGTTGGTTTTATGGTTTGATTTTGTTTTGTTTCTTGGGTTGCTTTTTGTTTGGTTTCTTTGGTTACTTTGGGTGAGGGAGGGAAGAGTGGAGTGGAATGATGTAGGGGGTGACCCAGAGAGAAGAAATCTCGGAAAAAAAATCCTTAATAAATAAAGAGAGACTATTACCACATATGAACTCAAAGCTACCCATGGTGTTTACTCTGCATATCTGGTTGTATTGTCTCTAGAAGCCGTCATCTTGTAGTAAGTTGTTTGCTAACAATGCAGTAAAAGTGTCTGATGAGTGGTGCTGAGGAAAATTATCATGGAAAGCTGGTTCTCTTGGATCTGGCTCCAGTATTTGCAATTGAACTGAAGAGCAGATGGGTTTGGGTCTGTTCTGATCAGTCATTGGCTTTATTTGAGTATAGCACTCAGTATGCATTTGACAACCAAAGTATGGTTAATGGGATTCTGAGATTCAAAAAAGAATGCTTAAAAGTTATTAACTGTCCTGAACTGAATATACTGTGCAAAAATAAAGGAGCCTTCCTCTGGGATCTGGTTCTGTGATATTGCAATGCATGCAAAAAATAATAATAAATCAGTTTAATAAAGTGATCAGAAAGACACCACTGGAGTTCAACTTGTGACAAGACCAATGAACATCAGAAAAGCTAAACACTTGCAAAAGAATGCAAATTACATAGTTTTTATGACATATAACTGTTTTTCATAAGTAATATTTTAATTTTGTAGCTTGACATTTCAGATCATCTCTGTCTTTCCATTTGCTCTATTCTCCCTTTTCCTTCTCTTTTATATAAAAGAAAATAAATAAAGCTGCTGTGACACACAAAAAATAATAAAGAAAAAATAATTTAATAATTTAATATATATATACACAGATATATTTATCATGGTATGTTTGATGGGACGGCTGGAAAAAAAGTTCTGTTATGGTCTTAATGCGGAATGAGAATGTTCTTGAAGAACAGAGTAAAAAGAAACAGACAACAAAAGCAAACCTTAAAATGTGAAGGGAGCGTGTGTTTTAGCTTTGTCACAGTTACCTGTGTCAAAAAAAAACCTGAAGTTTTGTTTACATATTTTACTACTATTTTTTTGCTAGTATAATTTCTATATGGATACCCTAATGGTGTATATACTGTTTTATGGTTAAATTGGGAACGTCTTATGTTTTATTTAACTTATTTAATTTGGTTGTTTGGTTTCTACATTCTCCCACTTATTGTGAAAAGGATTATCTTACTGTACAGAACAATAGTGAGGTGGTTTGACAGCCATGCCTATCATGTGCAAAAACGTAGATGAGGGAGAGACAGAGTGGGAACAACAGAAACCAAGATGGGTTGAGAACCCTGGGATATCAGGAATGAAAACTTTTGCTGTATGCGGATGAAAACTAATCAGCTGTTTAGGTTTAGAAATCTACTCTTGCTGGTGTTTATAAGTCGCATGAATATTTGACTTTGAAGAAGTTTCATCAGATACACACACGCACATGGGAACTTAAATTCAGAAAAACAGTCTTCTCAAACACTTAGAGAAGGCGTTTTCATGTTAACAAATATTTTCAGTGTGTGTATGTGTGCGTGTGTGTGGTGCGTGTGTGTGTGTGAGATTGAGCTTTTTTCTTTTTTATTTTTTTATACTAAAAAGAAAAAAAGACAGGTTTTAAAAAGGTATGAAAGCACGATTTTAGATGACTTAACTGGCCGAAACTATATAAAAATTGATTATATCTTGATGTCTGTAAAAGATTGCTGTTCTTGGAGTCTTGGAGTCTTGTGAAATGATTTTCTGCTTTCTTTCTTCCTTCCTTTCCTTTTTGCTTTCCTTTTTTAAGTTAAAGGAAAAATATTTACACTTTCCTTTTTTGTGTAAGTTTCTACTGGACAGTTTTTGGGAACATGTGCATTTCTGTATGTGGGCTACTACCATATCCCTGTTGCTTTATGGACAACCTGAAGAATTTTTATTTGAGTTATCGTGATGTTATTGCTTTTATTTCCTTTTTTTTCTTCTTCTTTTTGATTCTTTTTCTTTTCTTAGTTGCATTTTGTTTAAAGATATGCTTAGCAATAAAATGTTCTTCCCAAAGCCCTGGATCTTGCTGTGTTTTTATTTCCAAAAGACTTCAGGGAAATTACAGAGCTTTAAGGGTGAAAATATTCTGTGATATAAGTATACCCCATCCCACAGGAGTGTCTAGCCACCAAATTACAGAATCGTGTTCATGTTTGCATTCTTCTGTTAGTCCAATGAACATTTTTTCTTTCCTTTGCAGGCATAAAAATTAAACTTGAGTCTGGGGTCTATCTCATACCACTTCCACCACATCAGTTGCATAGCTCTCTGTAATATGGGTTTCAGTTATCTCAGATAAAAGCATACCTAGGACATTGACTTAGTATGCCCTTTCTTATATGCTCCCTTTGAAGTGTGTAGCTCTTTCAATGATGTTTATGGGATTCTGGATTCATCTTTGGCCAGGAGTCAATGGTAGATGGTCTGAGTGTTCACTTCTTTCACTTCTAGTTAACCCCAACTACAGTAGTGAATGTGCCTCGTCCTACTGGGCATTATAGTCTGATTCTGGTCATCATGCAAAATTGCCAATACTCAGTCGTTTAGCAAGTTGTGCAGAACTTCTGTTCACAGTAGTAGTGTGGGGTTTTGACAGATTCAAGGTTCCCAAGCTATCTGCAAATTTTTTTTACTTTTTACAGGCATCTGGAGGTCAGCCAAATGAGTATTTCACAGCCCTTTCATTTTCAACTGGGGATGACTTCACCTTTTTTTCCCCTTGGTGGAATCCATAGGTTTTTTGAGCAGTGTTTTCCACAGGTTTCATTTACAAACAAATTCATCTTAGGATAAAAAGGAAGAATGCCTGTGATTTTCTGCATTGTTTTTGCTCACATTTGCATAGGTGAGAATATGTATGTGTACATGCATGTGAGGTTCTTTTACTGTTTTCTTTTGTGAATCATATTTTGACAACTTACAGATTCCCACATGTATCAAAGCCGCAGGTTCTGGTCTAATCTTCACTCATTTCCCTCCCAAAATCATTAAATTCCTGAGTGATGACTGGTACCTAATATTTCCAATACTGGAGCAATCAGCTGGCATGTGAGAGATACAGATCTGAACCTAAATATCTTTTCTAATATTGCAAAAATTTCCTTATCACCAAGCATTTGGTGTTCTGAAAAAAATATTTTTTTCCTCACTACTTCTCTCAAAACCTGTTATACTTCATATCGTTATGAAATATTATATGAAGCAAGAAATCTCAACCTGACTTACTCTAACCCTCCGGCTATAGTCATGCTTTTTCTCATTCTTTTCTGTCATCTAATGACCATTTTATTACGTAGGCTAAATGAAAATGTCAGAAAAGAGATTTCTTTGCTGCCCAAAAGGCTTGGAATAATTGTATGTCTTTGGCTCATCACAGAACCATAGAATTGTTGAGATAGAAAGGGACCCCTGGAGATCATGTAGTCCAAGGACTACCACCCCAAAGCAGAGTCAACAGCAGCAACTCACCCAGGACTATGTCTATTTTTGTTAATATCTCCACATGTAAATGCCACAATCTCTCTAGGCAACCTGCTGTGTACAAGCACATTCACTGTAAACATTTTTTGTTGTGGTTTGATGAAATTTTAATAATTTTCTCCCTTTTACCCATTTCCTTTTTCTGGGTACCAGTGAAAAGATCCTGACTCTCTCTTCTTTACAGCTTCCCTTCAGGTGCTCATACATATTACTAAGAGTCCCTATGAGCCTTTGCTTATTCAGGCTGAGCTGTCCCAACTCCCTCAACCTCTCCTTGTACAACATATGCTCCAATCACTTATTCATCTTCTTGTCACTTTATTGGACTCACTCCAGTATCTGGAGCAGATACAATTGCCTTATCACCATCAGTAAGCTAGGTACACAGCTCTTTCCAAGGACCAAGGCTGGGCAGCTGCTCCTCTTCCTGCCATTTTCTACCGGTAAACAACATCCCACTTACTGTGGCACTTTTAGAAGATCCTTCTCTTAGTTGCCTAGTTCTGTATTTCCAAAACCGTTCAGCATATCTCTGTTTATTTCACAGTTGCAGAAGTTCTTCACTGAGACAAGTCATGAAGATCTGAGCACGAATGGGCTTGAGCTTTCCCAGCCCTGGTGCTGTCAAAAAGGACAAGTGAGGAGCAATGTCAATGTTGGTTCCTTTTCCAGACCTTTCTGTCTGTTCTTCTTGTCTGGGAGGGAGGGCAGACATGCTGGTCTCCACTGCAGTTGCCATACCAGGGTGTTTTCCTTCCAAAAGAAATGAGAACATACTGATCAGACAGTTTGGTAATAATAATTAAAAGACAAATATCCTTCCTGTCAATTCCATAGTGAAAGTATCTCAATCATAAGATTATGATGACTCCTAGGGAAGGCAAAGACACATGAATTATAACTAATGAATGTGACTTGACACTTGGGGTCTAAGTGAAGCATGTTACTTCCATGGAAACACAGTTTTTAATGCTATCAGTCTGTAAGGTGTTCACAAGATCACAGAGTTCTGTCAAGGGCCCTGTGAGAGCATAAAGTCACATGCAGCTTTTGCCATTTCATCATACACCCTCCCAAGGTTGGCACTGGCTCCCTAGAAGTTGTTTCTTATATGGTGGAACAAGTCACTGCCTTTCCCTTCCCACATGCAAGCGATAACAAAGAAACGGAACAGCAGCAAGACTTGCCTTCCAGCTGTCAACCTCACTGGCTCTTCTTGGGTTGGTAGAGGTACTAGCATGAGAAGAAGGGCTATTGCCTGCTGTTTGGCTCTCTGGATGAGGCCCAAGCTGAACTCTGAGAGCACATTTGCCT